TGTTTTTGCAAATGAACTCTTCAAATACATTAAAAATATGAAGCAGAGTTAAATATTATTCATTTTGTATGCCTTAAATGTCAGATCTGTCTGTGATAGAAACTGAATCAACCTCACAACATTTATGCTATCACAGAATAAACATTTATGTTGCAAAAAATACTTTAATGAAACAAAAAAAGGAGCTCTTTCCATACTGCTGTTGATTCCAGTTTCCGACCTGTTTGCTGTTATATAGGAGAACAACAGGTGTTTCAAATCATGCCTCTGAGTTTCACAGCTGGTGAAGAACAACTGCAACTCTCTTGATTTGTGAGATTATTGTGGCCTATGCGTTATGTCAGAGCAAAAATCTAACCGACATCCATTGTGCAGCAGCACCTGCTGATCCAGTCTTCTGGAGCGAGATTTCTCTGACTTGCCTCTTTATTCCTGTCCTGTGTTCTTTTTTTTTTTTTTTTTTTTGCTTTGTAGCCGTTCGGACCAAAATGGTGTACTGCAAAATCGACCAGACACAGCGGAAGGTTGTTGTGAGGTGAGTACCTTGATTAAACCACCATACATGGCTCCACTGTGCAGCACTTTGAGTTCTGCGTGTGTGTCATAAAATTTCGATAGAATTGATACCAATCCAGTTTTGACATTCTTTACCTGGGTTATGAAAACACTGATTTGTGGCGAGTGCAGTGCAATGTGTTAATCATCGGGTTTCATAATCCTCTTACTTCACGGCGGTGTTTTGCAGCGCATCGTTTCTTTAAACTGAAGTCGGGGCTTTTTGGTGACTCAGATTGCGTAGTGACTGGTTTTCAGAAAGAGGAATGTTGTGTTGATGTGAGAACAAAACTCAAATCGAAGATGCTTGTTTTTCTAATTTAATTGTGTGAGGCTTTCTGTTTTGTTTTCAACTGATTTGATTTGAAGATTGGATTGAGGAGCATGTAATTCTCATGATATGCCAATAATCAACTGCAACAATTGATTATAATTAGTAAGGGGATTACTACTGTGTTCAGAAATTCATCAGTTAAAGAGACTTTTTAAGTTGTGGTCTCCAGAAAAAAATCACCTGTGTAGAAACTTTCTTTTAAAATTTACATACTTCTTCCTTCATATTCCAATTTTAGCATGTTTTCCCTGTTTTATTCTTATAGCTCTGTGACCTTAATCTGCATTATCTTTTTTAAGTATCACATCAACATTCTTGCTTTTCTGTCTCCACTAAATCAGCCACAGCACGCATCGCACCTTTGGCAAGCAGCAGTGGCAGCAGCTGTCCGACAGCCTCACCTCCTGGAAGGCCAACCTAGCAACCGTCAAGACGAGCCTGCAAGCCCTGTCGCCTTCTGCCTAATTCCACTTTAACCCAACTATTTAGACTGCCTAACCCTCGGTTCTTTACTGCTCTCCAGATTCCCAGACTGAAATGATCAGTTTTTTTTATTCATCTAATAAAAGATCAGTGAAGATGATCCGCTTTTTTTTTTTTTTTTTGTCTCGAGTCATTAAACATGCTGGGGTTTCTCATGGAATGGAATAACGCACTGTATACAACAGACTGTATTTATGGGCATGACAAGTTTTACTGTGCCATTAATGGATAATATATATACTATATAATCAATCTTTAGGTATAAGCAACCCGCTAGTTGCCTTATCTTCTCACAAAACTGACTTTAATTGGGGGGGCCGTCCTCTACAGGTTCTCGACATCTGGTCTTAGTTAAAGGACAACATGCCAGAATAGTAGATGAGCTGTGGGCTTGGAGTGAGAAATGGCCTGCAACAGGAGGGTCACTTGTCTGGGAACACATGAGAGGTGACAATGGTAATGTGAACTTAAGGTGACCCTGTCTGCTGAGGTCAGAGCTGCATTACTGGAGCATCAACACTTGTGGTGTAGGCTGATTCACTGCCACTGCACATTTGCAACTGTCCGCTCGGTTGATGGATACCGCTCAACTGTAGTCGGCGTGACTCACTGCCTCTTAATGTGTCTGAACGGTGGAAAAACAAAGCCCTCCGAACTAAAAGTGGTCCGTTCACCTTGGTGCTGCCCATTGATGTGATGTAAATTGCCATTTCTTCAGCACGATAATCTGTTTTCAGGCACCGCTGCAGGACATTAGGATGTGAAATGTAAAGATGTATGAGCAAGGAATTAGGTGTAAAAGGGTTCTGTTGGAGTTGTCTCCCTCTGGGACTGTGATGAAATCAGCACAAACTGACAAAGTGCAGAGTACTGACATTGCACTCTGTGAATCCCCACCCCCACCCTCAATCCACAGTCTTTTTTGTTTTTTGTATGTAGCTACAGCACCAACAGTTTTTGTGTTTTTGGCCACTTTAGGCCACAGAGTCATAACGTGATCATTGGAGCCCTGCTACTAAAATATTTTTACAGGTTACATGAGTATTGGAGATGTACATTTATTGCTTCAGTGAGTTCTTTTCCCTATCATACCAGAGGTCTGCTAAGGCTCACCTCTCACATCTGTCCAGTTGCCCGCAGGGAGCAGCATCTCCAGCTCTTATCAGCGGGTGTAAATCACAAAACACATTCTCAGGAGCACAACCTCATCACAGCCACCCGCAAGGTGGAGCGCAGAGCAGATAGAAACTAATGTGGCCGAGGCTTAGCAGAATGTTTGCAAAGCCTTATATCTTAATTTTCGTCTTTCAGCGTAGGGTACTTTTTTTTTTTTCCCCTTCCTGCGAGCAGCTGCCTCTCCGCTACTTTCCTCGTTCTTGGTAGTGCTCCCTCTCTCTCTCCTTATCTCTAATTTGTCTCACTGGTTTTTAGCAAAACTGGTTTCGCGGATGGTCCGTCATGTGAGATGTCTCAGATGTAAATACTGTGTGCTGCGGCTGCTTTATCTAGCGCAGGCAGCGTGACCTCTTCTTATCACAGTCGGATAGAGGCAGTTCTGCATTGTTCAGTGATGAAAAGCAAATGACTTCATATTCCATCTGGGGGCTGAGCTGTGGAACTGGCCCTTTATGCACACGCAGCACAGTTTATCAGCAATGGAGGAAACTAACTGAATATGTTTAACCTAGAAATGTGCTCACAATGTGGAGCTGTGCTTTGATTTACACACATTTAACCTTCTGCTTCATTATGTTTTGGATGGTAGCATATTTTTACTGCTAAACATTACACAAATTAGGATTTTACATTAAAAAAAACATGACTTTAGTAAATGCACTGTTGACATCTGTGAGTGGTTAGCAACAAGTATGAGGTACTACTGATTTCATTCACAGAGATTATTTTTAGAGGCCTAATCTGGAAGTTGGAACCCCAGGACTAAACTACCTGTAAGTGTACAAAGAGTAAAAACTCCAGTGAAGGACCTAAATCAGACTGTGCCAAAATAAACTCTCGAGCATCGTCGCACTGTCAATTATTACAACGTGAATATTATAGTACATGGTGTAAGATTGTAATGATATCTGACGTCACACATCACACGCACAAAGTCTGGAATTTCTCATTTCCTTCGCCCGCTTTCTTTGTATCGACATTCCTCTGTGCGCATCTTGAGGTCTGACAGTATCCAGAGATGTAGCCAAGCACAAGAGAGGGGCTCTCACTGCCCTTCAATTAGCACCATCCAGTAGGCTGCAAGATAATGTTCGGTTGCATCCTATCTCTGCTTTACATAAACATTTCTTCAGAGGCCCAGACGGCTCTGAGGCAGATACATCTATTTACATGGATAGTGTGAAACATAAACACTGTTACGGAGGATGATCCGCCTGGAAAAATGGCAAACGTTATCCACTTTACTCTCTCACTTTATTCCCTATCACTGTGTTGCTGCGTGTTTCTGCTTTTTGTTGTGTGTCTACAGTTGCCTTAGGAACTACTATTTGCGCTGGAAAAGCCAAATTAGGTCTATTTCATTACAAATGACTCTTCACTGTAAAAATGACTCCAGAGCCCATTGCACAGCCTTTTCCCATACAAGGCCTGTGCTTAGTGGTGTAGTCACCAGCTCCTCAGCTACTGAACGATCTCATGAGACAAGATTTAGTGCTTTTAAAAGAGACCTGATGCCGAAGATAGCCTTGTGTAATTTGCGCCCACCCATTAGAGGTGAAAATACAACATTGTAAACGTGTAGAAGGCACTGAGACTGAAGGAGATCAGATGTTCAGATGAAACTAATGCATTTGTCCCTTTAGAGGGTCGCACGGGGAGATGACCCCAGTAAATTTTAGGTTGCATGATCAGGCAGGTTGTGTGACAAAACAAAAGTCATGAGAACATGATGTCATTGTCTGACTGGATGTAATGCAAGCCACCTATAGGCTATTAAAGTGGAGGATGTCATAGTTCTGCACAGTAGTTCCTTTTAAAGTTAAAAATGACATTATTAAACCCATACAATACAGCCAATGTGTTGAAAAATGTTTAGTTTATTTTATTTATTTTTTTTTTATCATTTTTGGACAGAAGAATATGTCTGCCTTACCTTTACATTTTTAGAACTTTATTTGGTGCATTTTTTCTAATTAAAAATAGCTTAGTTTTATAATAATAAACAACAAGTCATTAATAGTTGCTACCAGAGTAGAGGCCCATGAACTATTTCGCACTGGGATTTCTATTGACTCAGAGTCAGAGGTCACGTAATCCCATTTAATACTCCGTGATAAGCGCTTTCCCTTTTGTGGTTTCAGCTGCCATCTAGCGTCCACTTTTATTTACATAACTTATCCAGTCATCCAGGTAAACGTGATCGATTGGTCGAGTCTGGGCAGGTAGTTTAGGAGGAGCTCAAGACGGCGCATCTGTTGGGAGTAAACAGAAGTCCTCTCTCTTTTTTTCATTTTAAAGCCACCAGAGCTATCTTGTAAGACTTGGGGACGATTTATTCTTTAAATTACTGTTTTTTTTACTGACAAAAAGATGAACCGTGTTAAAGTTTATCGAGGGAAGCTGGCAAACACAGCCGCTGTTTGTCGATGATTCATCTTATCAGCGTCGAGGCCGGGACACACACCTGCCGCTCCTTTCGATACGTTTCATTTTGCTGGAATTGAACTCTGCCCTTCATTATGAGCCACTTTTCCCCATAGGTAATGTAAGAATGTTTCAAAGCTGTACAGATTTTAAAGAAGCGGGTTTGTAATGATACTAATGCCAGTTAATGTGCCACCGTGCAGGACTACGTGATCATGTTGTTTCGTCTGTTCGTACTCCTCCACCTGCTGACCTGTGGAGATCTGGCCTGTACCAGGAGGCTGCTCTCCACACAGGAGGAATCACAAGACCAAGAAGGTGAGGGATTCCAGATTAATTCACCTTTTTTTATTTTTTTCCCCCTTCCCCCAGCAGTCAGATCTTTTTTTAAAGTCGTGCTGTTCATCTGTCAGTGTTTGTAGATGAGGGGGACGCAAATTCGTTCCTGGGTCGCCATCTGCTGTTCAACCGGTTTGACTTTGAGATGTTTGTTCCCGGCAACTTGGAGAGGGAGTGCTATGAAGAAGTCTGCAATTATGAGGAAGCCAGGGAGGTCTTCGAGAACGTCCCAGCCACAGTTGAGTGATGCTCAGGTGATTTGGTGAGAATCAAATGAGAGGCTTCATCATACTGATCCAATCTTTTTTCTTATTTTTGCAGAATGTTTTTTGGAAGGAATACACTGCAGGTAAGAGAGCGATGGCTTTTTATTTAATCTGTAGCATCAAATATCACAACAAGGATTCTGTAGGTGTTTGTAAAGGAGCACTTTGCCTGTTTGCCTCGAAACCTGTTCCGCTACTTGTCCAACAGTGGCTGAGAAATATAGTTCTTCAGCCTAAGGAGTTGCTCAAATTCCAGTACATGCTCATTTGTTTTGCACCAGCGGCGATGATTTATGTAATCAGCGTTGTTGTAAGTGCAGAGAGACAAACTAATATCAGCTGAAAAACCACCCTGTGATGTGCAGGTGGTTATTTACTGTGATGGAGCAAAGCAAGGCAAGGCGAGGAAGGTTTATTTATATGGCACAATTTGTACCCGAGGCAATTCACACAAAACCATAAGAAGGCAGATCCACAAAACATAAACACAATCATTAATTAATTACATTAAAAGCGAAGAGGCAGATCAAATCAATCCATAAAAACATAGAGATACAGATAAGTACTTTCATCTGTCATATTCACAACTCAATAGAACCGTTTTCAGGCTGGATTTGAACATCAACACTGATGCTGTCCAGTTAATCTCTCCGTGGTTTGTGATGATCCACAGATAAGAACAAAGGCCCCTCACGGGTCGATGTGACGTCTCTTCTGGTGGGACTCATTGCTGCCGGAGTGGCCATCGTTGTCATTGGGCTCCTGGTGTGGTATTTCTGTCAAGGCAAATGCAAGGACAATTTGAGCCGTGGGAGGTGAGTGACAGTGAAGCTGCTTTATCTCTGCACACATAGACGTCAGCACTAGACTGCATTCGAGCTACGTTACCTCTGAACAGCCACAGGCGCTAGTAAAGCTCACCTGCAATGTGAACCGAGGAACTTTAAGAAACTGGCAGCCTGAATAGTTTTTGCACTGTAGATATAAAAGCACTGAAATGTTTCATAGTGTGGACATTTTCAAATGCAACTGTACCACTGTTCAATCAGTGATCAATTCATCTGCAGATTATTGTCCTGACTCATCATTTTGTCCAGGGATCTCCAGCTCCGGTCCTCATGAGCTACTGTCCTGCAGGTTTTAGACATTTCCATACTGCAACACACCTGACTCACATTAATGGATCATTAACAGACTTGTGTAGAATCTGAAAACAAGCTGCTGGAGATCCTTTCATTTGAGTCAGGTGTGTTGCAGTACGGAAACCTGCAGGACACTAGCTCACAAGGACCGGAGTTGGAGATCTCTGATTTATTCTATGATATGAAAGAAACGTCACAGTTTCCCAACGCCCAAGCTGATGTCATAAACTTGCTTGTAATATCTGACAGAACCCAAAGAAATGCATCAAACATTTGAGAAGCTGGGACCAGTGACTGTTTCCTCTAGAAGAAGGGATTATTCAGTTATCAGAATAGCTGCTGTAACAGTGCAGTCCACGCTATGTAGAACCTACAGATGTGTTTCTCGCTGTGCACCGTTGTATATCCACAATAAAGACGACTTTCAACTTTAAACATGAAGTAGTTTACAATCCACATCTGCACTCCTTCACAGTTCCATTCGGGTGCGTCCGAGGAGGAGCAACGCCTCTCTAATAATACGGCGGCTGGAGGAGGTCTCCCTACAGCCGATCAACCCTCCAGCAGGCCCGCCTTCTGCGGACGAACTCGACCCTCCGGGGCTGCCGTCCTACGAACAGGCAATCGCGAGAACTGGACCGCATGACGCCCCACCTCCTCCTTATCCTGGGTATTTGCAGTTATGTTATACTGTCACAGTCCATAATGCAGTCACACACAGGTGATGTTTGTATAACGACTTTTCTTGTCTTTTTGGTTTCAGCTCACGGAGTGGAACCATGCGGCGGTAGTATCTTCACGACAGCTTGTGTCTCTCAATGTTTGGCAGACACTTTACAGACAGCCTCTACACTGTGCTATCATAGTGTATCACATTTTCCATCTTTTTAAGGTTTAAAATAGGGCCTTATGTCTGCTGTTTATAGCCCAAATGAAGCTCTTATTTTCCCCTTTAGGTGTTTTAAATAGTTTCTGTTGGTAATATTTTTCCTAAATATGATCTTAAATATTTTTAAACTCTGCCTTCTTGACCTGCTTTTGCCAAAAAAATATATCTCTCATGTGTCTCAGGTGTGATTGTGCTTTGTCATGTAACCCCAACATTATGCTGAATAAGCTTTTTTTTTTTAAATGTAAGTGAAAATGAAGAATCCACAATGTGTTGGAGTACGAGCTTTAAGTTGCTGTAATACTTGGGGCCCTTAAGGAGCAGCTGCTTCCCACACAGCGTGTATTGTCAGAGTGAGAGCATGATCAGTCAGTGTTTCATTACACAGTAAGTATTAATTGTAACCGCAGAGAGACTTTCTATCAGAAACCACAAAACTGTTGGCGTTTGCATGATGTCGCCCTAAAGGAGATGCTTTTTGCAAATGCGCAGCGGTTTTAAGGGAATTATCTTCCAGCTTGCTTTGCTAGGATTCACTGTGTATTTTCTCATTATTATCATTTTACCTTTTATTTTGTTAAAATGTCAGAAAGTGTACGAATATTCTACCAACTAATGAGAATGCTCTTGCTTTAGCTCTTATTATAATTTCAACTTGTAATGAATTATTAATTGCTCTACATGAGTAGCGTAACAGAGTTTGTATTTATGCAGAAGAACATTTTACAGTACGAGAAATTCATAGCTGTGAAAACAACAGTAAAAAAAAAAAGATTTTCGAAGCTGTTAAAGAAGCAGCAGCAGCAGTTTGGCCAAAACCAAGTCATTTCCTTAACTGTAGTTTGAAGAAGCATCTCATTGTCATTACAGCAATATAAGTTAATAAGTTATTATGTCCCTGCAAATGACTGTATGTCATGTCCAGCCTCACTTCATGTTTTTTTTCCCCAGCATGCACTGCAGACTAACCAATAAGCTTCGTAATGACATGATGAGAATTTGTGGAGGGCTAGCTTTGTTGAAGCTGATCAGAAGCAGAACTACTTGAAATGCAAATCTTTTATAGTTGTTTTAAATAAAACAGATATTTTAATTATTTTTTTGGCCTCATGTTTTTACTTGTGGTGATGCATTTGAGTGCATGAAAGTTCTGGAGCGGAGTGAAGTTAGAACGAGGTAGCCAAGTTTAACTGCTGCTGTAGAATTTGTGTCGGTAAGCGTTATGAAAAAGAGAAAAATGAGTACGAATACAGTGTACTGTGGATTTCTAGGTGGTTAAACTTTTTTGTACACCACCGGAATCCTTGGCAGATATTTCAGTTGGGCTGTACGGATTCACTAAATGCTTCCTAAATGTTTCTGGAGTGGAGAGAAGCCTTCAAACAACACTCAGATCTTGTGTCGGCTGGTTAGTTGTTAGTTAGCTAACTACACAATCAATCAGTCTAATTACTCCGGGATTTTTGCAGGCATGCACACCAAAGTCTGAGGGGGTGGGCACCAGAATTTATTTTTTTTATTATTGTTCAACTGGTTCAAAGCAAAATTTGGTCTGCAAATATTGTTCCATTGGTGCACTTCCTCTGCTGCTACTTCCTCTCCTTTTTGGCCTGCCCTTGTTTTATTTACTCTGAGGCTTTGGGCTTATCCAGGAAGAATCTACACATTTGCACAAAGACTGTTGTTTTCAGAATGAATAGACTGCTATGAATTCCATTTACCTTCCTTTGGCTTAATGGTCATCATTTGTAATGCAGCAGCAGAAGCAGACATATTCAGGCAACCTAGGTTGTACTGGAACCAGAAATCATGACAGAATGCTGAAAAATGTGCCAGTGATCTGTGACATTAGCGTCAACTCCCGAGGCTGAAGGGAGACGAGATGAAAAGAAAAAAGGAACCAGAGCAAGACAGAAGAGAGATGAAGAGATGTGAAGGGAGTGGGTTCCTCTGAGTTCTTCTGATGACATTAAACTGTGGTAGCTCTCGACATTTCTGCTCTCGGCTGCTGAATATTATCATTCACCTCATGCAAACCTGCAGCAGACAAATATTAAACCAACAGAGACTCTTCTCTCCTCTCTCATGATGATCTATGGCCATGGTGAGAATATAGAGAAAAACAGTAAACCGGTGACTCAGTTGTTTTCTTTGGAGAACGATCCAGACTTGAGATTCAAGTGACCCTTTGTTAGTGAGACAATAACACTTGTACTGCAGCAGCAACTTAGTGACTAGTCTCACCACTGCTGCGTTTCTCTCCACCCGACTGTCTGCTGGTAAAAATGCAGGACATGAATCAGAGGCTTTGAAGGTAAATTAAGCCTTTGAAACCCACAAAGCATCAGCTTGAAAACTGTACAGGCAACAAGAGCATAGTTTGAATTTCAGTATTGCTGCCCTGAATAAATACACCATAAAGTGTTTGATTAGTTGATCTCCTGACATGTAAAAGTTTGAAAACCTGATTTAGTCGCTGGTAATGTTTTGAGAAAGAGAGAAAAATGAACTTATGTGAAACATTTCTTACAGTTTGTTTTAAATCTCAGGCATCATTCGGGGGAATTCTATGCTTCTCAGGTACATAAATACCCTGAAACTCCAGCTTTTCTTGACCCCATCCTGTGAGTAAAAAAAGGACGACTGCAAGAATTCAATGTTCACCACAGCCTGAAGGATGCAGCAGAGCAAAAATGATGTCACAATTTGAGACTAGATGCTTTGATCAGAAATGTAGTGTATCAGTGAACGTATTGCACCAGAAGGAAATGCTTCTTGTTTAGATGGTAAATATATTTTAAGCCAGATGAACAGTTCACACCTGCTGCCAGGCTTTGTACTTGATGACTACAACAGAGGAAATAAAGTAAAGGCAAAGTGATGTAACATGATTAGAAACAACTTTTGATGGTCAAGCAATGTTGATGCAAACATGTTCTTTAATTTCATTTTGAACTAATATGTATTTTTTTTTTGTCTCTGCACAACTGTTGCCTGACATTGTTCAAACTGTAACCATTATGTTCATGAACATTAAAATGTGAGCAGCAAAGTTTGATTTCAGACACTGAATTTTACACGTTTTATGTTAAAATTCAGTGTTGCAAGGTGGAGCAGTGGTTAGCACTGTTGCCTCACAGCTAGAAGGTCACCAGTTTGCATCCTGGTGAGGACACCTGGGATCTTTCTGCGTAGAGTCTCCATGTTCTCCCCGTGCAGCGTGGGTTCTCTCCGGGTTCTCCGGCTTCCTCCCACACAGTCCAGAAACATGTTGAGGTTAACTGGTGATTCTAAATTGTCCGTAGGTGTGAATGTGAGTGTGCTTGGTTGTCTGTCTCTAAGTGTAGCCCTGTGATAGACTGGTGACCTGTCCAGGGTGTCCTCTGCCTTCACCCTGAGTCAGCTGGGATAGACTCCAGCCCCCCGCGACCTTAGTGAGGATTAAGCGGTGTATAGATAATGGATGGATGTTAAAATTCCTACAGAGTCAGAGAGAAATGTAGAGTTATTTACTGACAATCTACTGTTCCGCATGTTGTCCAGTAGATGGTGGTAATGCATCTACCAGCTGATACCAATTGCCTGTTGAGTAAACAAACAAACAAACAAAGGATACCTATGATACCTCTATTACATCTATATTGCTATGCAGTTAACCCGATCTCTGTTCATGATTGAACTTACATCTTAAATTATTTCTCGTTTTTATCGGATTGTCGTCAAATACAAAAGAAAGTAAAACAACAAGGCCAATATATGAGTGATCAGCTGAGTTATTCTTCTATAAATGACATGCAGAGCTCTGAAATTACGCTTCAATCAGTCATTTATATTTTGAAGATTATAGTTTACATACTAAAAGTTCAACCACGTTTTTAGACGCATACGTTGCTGAAACAACTGCTGCTGCATTTGTTTCAACACTGATCACCCCAAAAAGCAATCCCAATCAGTTCCTAATTTATGCAGTGCCACCAGATCAGTGCCTACAATGACAACATGTGGTCCGTTTGCCAAAAATGTATGCAAGTCCGAGACACTTAGCATTCATGTCAGAGCGATTCCCACCACAGTTGGACTGGAAGCCAATACTTTATATTTGACAGTTCACTGAGACAGGAAACAAAGAAGCAACTATGTCGAGACATGATGTGACTGCAATATTTAGACCAGTGTTATCACAAGGGCCGACACGTGTTCTGTCAAGGTGATTGGTTTGGAGTTAGGAAGTATTTGCTGAAGGAATAATGAGAGGGAAATTTTTAAACTGTTGTCTTCAAAGTCAGAAGTTTACTTACATTTCCTTAGTATTTGGTAGCATTGTCTTTAAACTGTCTGACTTGGGTAAAAGTTCTGGGTTTCCTTCCACAAGCTTCTCACAATAGTTTGATGAATTCTGGCCCATTCCTCCAGACAGAACCGGTGGAACTGAGTCAGGTCTGTTGGCAGCCTTTTCAGCTCTGCCCACAAATTATCTGCAGGACTGAGATCAGGGCTTTGTGATGGACACTCCAAAACACTGGCTTTGTTGTCCTGAAGCCACTTTAGAACTAGTTTGGCGGTCTGTTTAGGATCATTGTCCATTTAGAAGATCCATTTATGCCCAAGCTTTAACTTCCTGGCTGATGTCTTGAGAGGTTGCTCCAATATTTGCTTGTTTTTTTTGTTGTTGTTATTGTTGTTGTTGTTGTTTTTACATTTTTATTTCTTAGATTTTCACTTTATATTATCTGTAATTTAACAGAAGAGGGAAATGTGTAAAAAAAAAAAAAAAATCTACATATTTATTCTTTCACATAATGGAAAATATCAGTGAAATAATGGTACTTTTTCCTGATTAAAATACTGTAAAATTAATACTTTTTTGTGGTAAATTTAGTAGTAATTATGTGTAACTTAACAGAACAGGGAAAAATATGTAAAATAACAGTTAAGAATGATTTACCAGGTTTCAACCATTGATAAATATACATTTTCTTTTAAATAATGGCTAATATCTGTGTAATAATGATATTTTTTCTTATTTAAACACTGTAAAAAAAAATTAAAATAAAAAAGCAGCAGAATTGTACTACAAGATGTTGTAACAGAATAACTTAGCATTTATAAAAATACTGATTTTTGGATGTTATTAGTTTTGTCCTTTTTTTAAGTTAACATGTAAATTATTACTTTTTCTGATTTTACTAGTTATCATCTGTAATTTAACAGAACTTGTTAATTTCTGTAAAATACCAGAAAATTGCTCAAGAAATACTGTGACAACTGTAAACTGTAAAATAATAATAAAATAAAATAAAATAAAATTAAATTAAATTAAATTAAATTAAATTAAATGTTGGGGTTTCTTTTTTTGTAGACATTTTTGGGGGTAAATGCACTGGTAAATATGTGTAACTTAACAGAACAGAAAAAAACATGTAAAATAACAGTTAAGAATGATTTACCAAGTTTCAACACTCAGGATATGTACATTTTCTTTTAAATAATGGCTCAGATCTGTGCAGTAATGATATTTTTGCTGATTTAAATACTGTTTTAAGAAAAAATGCTTTTACTAGTCATCATCTGTAATTCAACAGAACTTGTTAATTTCTGTAAAATACCACAAAATTGCTCAAAAAATACTGTGACAACTGTAAAGATCATTATAAATGATAATTAGTAATACTATCAGAGGTGGACGTGAACGGGGCGACCCCCCCATTCAAAAGCGGCGCCACCTCTGCGTGACATAACGAGGCTTCGCGTGGGATGGTCACGTGACGCTCTTCGCGTGGTGAAGGCAGCCGTCGGAGGGTCCTGCTTCGATACTTGCGCTTTAAAAAAGTCGATACCGTGTCGTGTGGCGTGCTCGCAGCGCAACATTTCCACTCGGCAGGCTGTGGGGAGAAGTTTGGGCTTAGCCCGCTAGCTGCAGCCGAGCGTCGGAGCCGCTCACTGGTCCGGGCTGCAGGACGTAACTTCCAGGACGGGAGATGAGCTAAAAGAACAACCGAGGGAAAGGCGATACTTTGTCCAAGGGGCACCGCGGCTTCCACGGACCGTGCCCTCGCTTTTTTTTTTTTTTTTTTAACGGGACTGCCTCGGTGGCTCGGTCGCTGGGTCGGACCCGGGCTGCTACGATGCGTGTCCGCTGCTCCACGAAGCTCCGTTGGGGAAGTGGATCTTTCACCGGATGATGGACAGGAACTACCCGAGCTCCAGCTTTGCGGACGCGCTGGCTCCACCAGCACAGACCGCAGCTTCGTGGGCCTATGACCGCGGCTCAGCTAGTACCAAGCCAAGGTAAAAGATGAAGGAGAGGGCGGGTCACCTTCCGAAGGAAATTTCGGTGATGGAGGGGCCTAGCTGGGGCTCTTTGGAGAAAAGTGCAGCGGGGGTTGCGGTTGTCGGGAGCACCGGGGGGCACTTTGGGGAAATGTCGGAATTCGAGCGAAGCCGTAGATGTTGTCAGCGCTTTCTCAGCCATATGTCGGCGTCTCCCACCTCGCTAGTTCGCGCTAGCACACTTTTACAGCGTGGCCGTGCACCGGAGTTGGGCAACAACAAACACAGTGGCTGTATTTGTGATTATTGACCAAGCAGGCGGCTTTTTATCGGCGACTTTTCTTCACCCACAGGTGCTCTTCAGAGCCAAAACAAGACGGGCTGCTAGCAAGCGATGCTACTCGCTGTGTGTCACTTCAGACCAGGTTGGGTTTGGTACCTAAAACGACGTGTCGAAATCAGCGTGTAGTGTTGGTGTTATTGTGGTTATTAGAGCTGGAGGTCCGTAGCTGTGTTTGTTTTTTACTGGGTTTTATAAAACGGGGTCAGTGTAGCTGCAAAACTTGCCAAAGTTGTGGATGTGTGACTCATGGCTGCTGTGTTGTACTGAGTCCTGTGTTAGTGGAGAGGCTTCATCCTGACTGAGAAAACCTGCTGCACAGAAACACCTCAAGTCTGATGAAGCAAGGCAGCCCACTAGATTAAAACTAAAGCCATAACTCAGTAACTTATTGAATGACAGATCTAATGATATGCAGTTGGTTGTAGATTTAGACTTTATTAATCCCAGAAGGAAAAGTCTGTTGTTACAGCAGCATGAATATTCAACAAAGAGGGTAAACAAAGCAAAAAGACAACACAGAATATTAGGGTAGGGGATAAAATGAAGGTGAAATAAAGTAAAATAAGTTAACAAATTTGCAGAGATAGCAGAAATGTGCTTAGATTGAAGCATTAGAGTCTGATTGCTGTCGGAAGGAATGACCTCCTGTGATGTTCCTTGGAGCGATGGGGTCGTATCAGTCTGTTGCTCCTCAGATCGTCCACGGTTTTATGGAGGGGCTGCAAGATGATGACCTGTAGTGTGGTCAGCATCCTTGATCCAACCACCACAACAGGGCCTGAGGTCGATAGCTGGACTCTTCTCCTCTGTGGTTCTGTGGTGGTGGAACGAGTTACCAAACTGTTCAATCTGCTGACTCCCTCTCAGTCTTTAAGAGACCCAGCTCTTCACTGAGCACCTTTGCGCTTGACAACCTGAAAACAAACATAAAACAAAACAAAAATAAATCCTATTACCTCCCACACAGCCTGCTGTTGGCATCAACGCCCTATCACTTGTTCTGTGGCACGTATCTAGATAGTTTTCTTGCTTGCGTTGTATCTGCTCTCAGATGTACGCGTCCGCTAAATGAAATTGTAGAACCCTCTGCTCCACCACCTCCTCCTCCTCCAGGGTGACCAACTGACCGCCAACATCACACCGGGCTTTCCTGATGAGTCTGTTCCGTCTGTCGGCATCCTCCTTATAACGCTTAATTGAATAAATGATGCCATGAATGTGCCGAGCACCGCTTTAGAAAAGCCGCCGCGACCTCTGTTTTCCTTGTGCCGTGACCCCAAACGACGCAGGTTTGTGGCTGCTGATTAGCAGTGGCTTTTCATTAAGGCAATCTGGAAACTAACTCATCAGCTGATAATTGGCTATGCTGCATTAGTTTTTTCCCAACTTTATAGTCAATTAGCAGTAAAGCGTTGCATGAGAAAGGGAGTCCTGGTGTGTTTGTTTGTGTGTGTGTGTTGAAGAAAGCAGAAAAAGAGGCAAATTAATCCCTTTCAGCTCTGTATTCTCCTTCCACAGATGTTCACCTTCTGGCAAAGAGGCAACACTTTAGGTCAGGCTGACTGCATCTGATTACCCCTGACTTTTTATTTCTGTTTCGTATGAAAATATCCCAGGAGAATATAAAGTCATCTGTCGGATATTAAAAATAAGTATCATTGCTAATGTTTCGCTTTTTTTTTTCCCTCCGAAAAACATTATCACAGCGCTTCAAAACAAGTTTTTATTTCTGGATATCAACAATAGTGTCCTGGGCAGAGTTGACAAGCATTTAGATGTTTACGAGTAAGAAATAGTGACTTTTTAAGTATTTGTACTTAATTGCTGCAAGTTTTACTGCTCAGGTGAATGCTTCCAAAATGTTAATGGACTCCTATTAGCTTTTAGTGCCCCGTTCACTGACAAACAGGTTGTTTTCTGGACGTGTTTTGTTGTAAGAACCCTTGAAACATTAGGAAACTCATTCAGGGAGTTTGGACACGTCACTTGAAACTGTAATGTTCAGTCTGATGCTAATACAAACTGTGCGTTGAGTCTTTTTCTGCAAACAGGGTGTGGGTCCGTTGAGACTGTGGACAGTAGACGGCCAAGGCTTTTCAAACCGAACACTTGAAATGAGCTCGCCGTGTACGAAGAGAAGCCTTTTGCAGTCACTTCAGAATTATCTAACTCGCTTTTTGCACACTTGCCGCTGTGGGGAGTGTGTGATAAAATTCGGACAAAGCAGAGATTAGAGGAAGGGTCTGAAACCGTTTTAAAGCTCTGAGTGTTCTGCAGTGAGCTCATTTTAAAATGGAAGAAGGTTGGGACCACTGGGACTCTTGTGAGAGTTGTCCATCCACTAAACATAACTAAGAAAGGCCTCAGTCAAGGAGGTAAACAAGAACAGTCACTCTCATAAAGCTTCAGAAGTCCTCTGCAGAGATCCACAGCTCTCCATCAGTCAGGCTTTCTAATAGCTATAGCCTTTCTCAAAACACATTTTGACTTTATCATTATGGGGTACTGAGTGTTGATTATATTTTATCCATTTCAGAATCTACAACTCCACGTAAAGGGGTCTGAATACTTTTTTCTCGTACCATGCTGCTGCTTGTGACGATTTGATTAATCATGACAACCGTATGTCTGTTTGTACTTGCAGTCCCAGTTATGGTGCAGCACACCTTGATGCAGAGCTCCTCCAGAGGCAAAGCTACACTTCCACGCACCAGCTTCCTACCTACACTACATCACACATTCCTGCTGCAGCAGGTGAGTTATGGAGACTCTAAATATTGTTTTTAAGGAACCAGTTCAGCCAAACAACAACAACAACAACAAACCTTCCTGGTGAAACCTTGTCAGACAGATATTTCAGTTCCTAATGCCAGGTTTTTTTGTGATCGTCTTTCTCTTCCTATTTTTTACTGTCAGGAACACTTGAGTCGAGCAGTAATACTCCTGAGACCTCAATCATGAGCTTCCTATCAGCCATGGAGTCAAGAAGCCTTCAGGCTGGTCCTGTTAGTGCCTCGTTACTTCCTCCTTTTAGACCCCCGTCATGGCCTGCTGGTGAGAACGCATCCACTCATTTAATCTGATCACTATTTCATTTAAATGATAATTTAACATAAAAATAAGAGCAAAGTTACACATGTAGGTGAAGTTTGCATTTCAGACTTTGTTTTTTGTGTAGAGTTGTTCTGTTTCCTGCCTGAATTATATCCTTACACGTTGCCTGTCCTCTCCTTATGTTGTCTCCTCCGTCCATGCAGGTACCAACTCCTCCACGACAGAGCTGTATTTAACTGGTGCCCTGCCTTCAACTGCCACTTTCCCCTCTCCTGCTGCTCTGTCGACCTATCAGCACACCGGTGCCTACCCCTCCAGGAGTTACGCTACCAACCCTTCCCTGGCTCTCCAGGATCCTGCCTTCAGCACTTCCACCAATGGCCTGTTTTCTCACCATGACCCCCTGCTACATCTCAAATCCAGCCAGTCCGTGCTTCCCACTGCCCTGGCCTTCAATCATCTTTCTGCCCCTCCTCTGGGCTCAACTTTGCCTGTGCAGTCCTCAACTTATCGCTCAGCCCAGGAGTCAGCACCCCACCTCTTACAACCCCAGCTCAGCCTCCTGTCTTCGACCCTGCCTACCCCTCATGGTGCCCCTCAGCCTTATGGAGCTACGGTTTTCTCGGGCTCTATTGAAAGAGCTCTTCAGCGTGAATGTAGTGTGATCAAGCACCACCAGAGGCCTTCCAGTAGCCACATGGCCTCAGAGCAGTTGCCCAATTCGGAGCACTCCTTACAGGGGTACTTTGGTTCTGGCAGCGAAGCAGATGTGTCCTACCAGCAGGACCCGTCCCGTCAAACTACTGTGTCCTGCAGCTCTTCCACAGGAGCCGATTCCACTCAAGGAGTCAGCGGTTCCCCACAACCCAAAACTGATTGTGTTACACAAACTTATTCATCAACTTCACTGCAAAAGGCTAAAGACTGCTCTTCCAAACTGGCTCCGCTCCCTGCTGGGGATGAAGAGAACCACTCTCAGAACCTGACAGCAGGATCTCCTGAGCGTTATTCCTCCCCTGGACAGAAGCAGAACTCCGTGATTGCTAATCAGCAGGCAGTCCAGCTATCTAGCCTAATGTCCAACAGTTTGCCTCAAACCTATATCACGACCCACGCACAGTCACAGACCTCCCATTCCACCTCAGAAAAACTTCCCTCCCTTTACAAGACTCTGCCTTCCCTGTCCAGCCAATCTGACAATGTGGCATCTGTTAGTCAAACTCTTGTTTACTCATCTACTCCTGGGCTCAGCCAAGAGCAGGAGATCCAGTATGGATCCCAGGTCCAGAGCTTGTGTCGAGGAAATCTCTCCGAGAGCTACCCCGCTTCCCACTCTCAGGGAGCCCCAAACGTGGCTTTTACATCTCAGTCACAGGGGCAAGCTGTAGTGACCCAGTCTCAAAGCTACGCCACAGGACAATCCCTGAACTCCTCTTACCCGCCCACATGTGTACGGAGTCTGCCCACATCAATCTCTACGATGGACTACACCCTTATGCAAGCTTCAGTTGAAAGTAAAACGCATGACAGTCTGTCCCAGCAGCAGACCCAGCCCCATAAATATGTTTTATCGACATCTTTGCCTACCTACTCTTCAACTGCGCAAGCCTTACAAAATAACATTAGATCCTCAGTACAGGACATAAAGCCAACATATGGCAAACAGAAACTTGAAGAGCTTCCTCTCCAGGACCTCGAAGCGCTGCAGCAGGCTTCCATGGAGGTCTCTGCACAAGACAGCAATATGGCTTCTCACAATAACGTCATCTACGTTGTTTCAAAAGTGGATGATCACCACAAAACGCAAAGTGTTATCCGAAGCAATTCACGTTCTGATGACCAGCTCATGGGACTGGGTCATACAACTACAGCACAGATAAAGGATGAAAGGATGGGTTCTGTGAGCCAACAGCACATTCATCTGAGCAGTGCCAATGGCCATGAAACTGCCAACACAAAAACTACTAACTCCACTATTGTGTCCTCACATGTACCCCTGTGCTCAGAGCAGCTCAAGCAGCACGCTCTCCAACTCAAATCTCCTGAGCCAAATCAACAAAACCAACAGAACCATAGTCAGTCCCAGAGCCAGACTTCAGCGGCCCACACCCAGTTCATCACCGTCCCCAGCACTCAGGTTCTCCTTGAGCCCAGTCAGATGATTCTGCTCCAGCAGTCCCTTGTCCAAGCCAGTCAAAACACTTCAAAGGTTGTATCTGTACAAGGTATCCAACCGGTCCAGGGTCTGGGCCCTGTTCATGTCCAGTATCTTCAGATGGACCGAGACCTGCTTGGTCACACTGTCACTGAAACTCAGAGTCAACAAGGCACCGTAGCATCTGAACCGAGCTCTGAATGTCCTTCTTCCTCTAAACACCACTACAGCCAGTCTGCAAATCATCAGCCAAACGATGCAAAGAACCACTTTGCTCTCAACTCCATTTGCTTCCCCGACTCCATGCTACTAGCAGACGACAGAAATATTCTGTCAAACGTTGACGACATTCTGGCTGCCACTGTGGCAGCCTGTGGCGTCACACCACAGGACTTTGTCAAAGCTTCATCCTCTACTGAGGCTGAAATGGCAGTGATGGCAAGCCCTGTTGATTCCAAAGGTCACTTCCAGACTGTGGATATGAGACACATGTCACCTAGTTTCTCTTCAGCACAACAGCCAATCATCAGCAACACTAACTCTCACACCATCACCATGACACTAAATGGAGCCCAGATGGCTACAGACTGTCAGGGTCAGTCCGTTCACCACAACAGCACTAGTGAGCTTGACACAAATGGAGATGGCAGGAGCTCTGAGAATGACTATCACTTAGCCGGTCAAGTGTATGACCCCTCAGATCCACAGAACAGAGTCAAAGGGAATGCAAAGTGTATTAAAACAGAGGATGGCTTCATGGAGTGTCCAGGTGGGGAGGACTTTGCCAAAAAGAAAGCTCGCTCTAAATCTTTGACCAAACCAGGTGGTCCTGAGGATGATTGTGGATTGGCCAGATCAGCCAAACGCAGCGGGCAAACAAAGCGGCAGAACTCCAGGGGCAGTGATGTCAGCTCGCCATTGGCCTCACACACCGTATATGATGGCTGTCCACAGCAGGAGAGAATCCGGCAGAAGATCCGTGAAGTGGAAGAGAAACAGCCAGAGGTCAAAACAGGCTTCATCGGCTCGTTCTTAGACTTCATCAAATCTGGCCCCAAACAGCAATACTCTCAAAGTCCTACGCGAACAATTAGTCGCCCGAGAAAGCCCTGCGCCTCGTCCAAGCCGTGCACTCTGCCTGCTTTGCCTCCCAAACTACAGACTCTGCCTGGGCCCTTGATTCCCCAGGAGAGTCCGGGAGTGAGCGCTCAGCACAAACGTCTGGATGAAGACCTGCAAAACAACCTGGAGACGCTGCCGTCGTTCAGCTCGGACGAGGAGGAGAACACCGGGAAGAACCAGGCTCTGAGGAACAGCATCAGCTCAGCGCTCTCGGCTCTGGATGAATCTTCAGATCGGAAAATTAGAACAGGTAAGAACAGCCTTCCTGAGCCTGTCAAGGCATGTTTAATGTATCTGAACATCGTTCTGCAGTCATCAAGTGCACATGTTGTCTAAAGCACCACTAACTGTGCTGAAAAATGGGAAACATTCTGATTCGAATTACAAACAATGTGATCAAGAAGTATGTAAAAGGGAATGACTGGGCTTTTAACATCAATTTTTGGTTGTCAACACTTTTGTCAGTGGCACAGATGTATTTGAGTTACCGCACCACTACTGGGATTTAATACCCAGCTCCACTGTCAGTGCACAATGGATGCACAGGAATCAAGTTAATAGAGAACAGATTGTGCAGGGCGCCATCAGAAATTATACACCAGACTGCATCGGCATTTTTAGTTCTGCAGAGAGGGAGAAGTGTTGACAAACACCCACTGCCCACTTAATCTACAACTCAAACGGTGACTAGTTATTGGTATTCAGGTGGTTTGAGTCCTTTAGGGTTAAAGTGAAAACCACAGAAGTTAATACAGGACTAACCTTTGCTGCCCTTTGAGCTGTCAGAGAACAATGTAAACCACAAAAGTCAACTGAGTGGTCTTTGCTGTGCTGTTACTTGCACTTTCTCCTGCTTCAGACATCAATAACATGCTAACATATGCTGTAATATGCACTGTCTGTCAGCTTTTTATTTTTTTCCCTCGCTGATGAATGCTGTCTGAAATCACTCGATCGATGTGAAGACTGAGGTGTCCAGCCGAGTGTCACTTTCATGTTCCGACAATGTCTTTGTTCAACACATTCATATATTTGCAACCCTTCTCCAGATAACCAAATCCAAGGCTCGATGATGAAGCCAGACCAAGTTCCCATCATGTCGCACACTGTTCCAGAAACCTGCTTGCCGCAGGTAGTCACTCCTACGCAGACGACGCACGCCGTCTCAGGAGGGAGGACGTTCGCAGCCAAAGAGGAGTACAAAGAAACCCTACCGGGCCAGTTGGCTGTGCAGCTGATCAGCGTGGCCATCGAGGGACTGACGGACGAAGAGCTGTCGGACAGCGGAGGAGAGGGAATGTACCGGGAGAGGGACGAGTTTGTTGTCCGGAATGAGGATATCGAAAACTTGAAGGTACAGGCTGGAAAATGAATGCTCTGTAATGTGGATTCTGGTGATGAGCAGGATTTAGTGCTGGGAGTGAAAAGGTTTTGCAACAAATAGGGATGAATAAACGTTGAATGCGGCATGTCAGAGCTAAATTATAGAGCAGAGTACTACACCGTCCTTTAATGAGCCATCTGTCCCCAAAAGTGAGAAAATGAAGTAGAAACATGTGCTGGTCTACCGTTATTCCTGGTGCTAAGTCCAAGACTAAGAAAAAGGACTCAGATCTTGTATGTGCTGTTAGTCAAACATCCCCAGATACATTTTTTCCTGTAATAGAGCTGCTGCTGCTGCTACATACTAAACCTGTTCTGCACCGTCATGTGCATGCATCTAGGTGACAATGAAAGCAGGAAGTGAACCTCCAGCCATCTGGAAAGTCCAGAAGGCTCTGCTGCAGAAATTTGTGCCTGAGCTGAGAGATGGAAAGAGAGTTTTCTCAGCCACAAACAGCGTAAGTGAAAACAGACTCGCCAACATACTTGCATGCCTGTATGTGCATTTGATTATTTAAATGTTGTTTCTTTATTCTGCAGCTATTAACGTTTTTTTTTCTCCTGTTTGTTTATAGTATCTCGGATACTTTGGTGACGCCAAGACCATGTACCAGAGGGTGTACGTGAAATTTTTGGACACGGTTAATAAAAGGGAGTATGTGCGGGTTTGTAGTCGGAAGCCACGCTGCAAGCCGATGAACTCGCTGAGGTGGGTACTGACCGACGGAAGTCAGTCATTTAAAGAAGAAGTAAGGAAAAGGCTCGTCTGTGGTGTAACTGTTCTTGTTCTGCCGCCCAGGGGTGTTCAGGTGAAGTCTTTGCTGGGCTTGACAGCCGCCCCTTCCCCAGTTTTCCAGAGCCAAAAGCCCCGACCCAAACAACTGAAGCCGAGGGCAGAGCCTCCACCCAAGAAGAGGAGGAAATGGAAAGAGGAGTTTTCACCTGCTGCCTCCGGATCATCTGCAGAGGAAGGCGGTGATGACGATGATGGTAAAGAAACCTTTTTAACTGTTCTTGTTAAATCTGCTGTGGATGTCAGTGGATATAATCGGAGTCTAAATCTCTTCTCTCTCTCACTGCTCTTCCACGCTGTCTCTCTCTTCCACACCCTCAGAGTTAAACCCTCCACTTCCGTTTGCTTCACGATTGCTCAACACGCGAACCATGAAGGAGACGTTCAGAAGCTTCGTGGAGCTGCTCATCAGCATTGCCTTAGACGAAGACGTGATGACGGCACTCGAGAGGGCAAACGGTGAGCGACTGACTTTTAATGCGCCGAGCTCAGCTGGCCTCACAGTTTAGCATCCATCACGCGGTCGCTCGAACCGTTGCTGACTTGTTCATTCGTCTTGTTTAAGATGAGTTGCTGTTGCCGCATATGAAAAGAGTGGACGGGATGATCACTGACAACAGGAAACGCTTGCTTCACAAACTGCACATAGGGCAAGTTTTGAAGGTGAGTGTGTGTTTATGAAACTGCTTATTAACATTCTGAACCTGAAAAGCCACCAGCAGGTTTAAAAGCCATGTTGTCTTAAAAAAAATGCCCAAATTGTACGATTTATTAGCCAGCTGTTAAAGAAAAATCCCAGAATTTTTAACTTTTTAGCTGGTCCTTGAACTACAAATCTGAGACCTACTGTTGGTTTAAAGTCTTCTCCAAATCTAAGCTCTTAAAAAAAACAAAACAAAAAGGGGTTCTCTGGTGAACTAGGTTGAACTGCAGGCTGTGTTTTCGCAGAGCAGATAGGAGACACATATGGTAAAATGTCCGTACTATGTAGAGTCATTTTCTTTTCATTTCTGATGATTTGTGACGTATTTAAACCACACTAAAGATATTTTTAAGCCCTCTGTACCTGTACTGATACTGTGCTGTTTCCATAGAGGTGCAGGAATTTATAATGTTGTGAAAAATGAGCCCACAATGAGTCAAAAAGTGCCAAAAAGGTTAGTGTTCAGTATGTTTGTGCAACAAGTGGAGTATTTATTTTTAATGTCAGTTTTTAGAACAATGGAGTTACCATCACATCCATCCATCTATTATCTATACACCGCTTAATCCTCACTAGGGTCAGGGGGGGCTGGAGTCTATCCCAGCTGACTCAGGGTGAAGGCAGAGGACACCCTGGACAGGTCCTACAGGGCTACACTTAGAGACAGACAACCATTGTCCCAATCTACCAGAAATCAAACTATGTGTGAGATAGCTCCTGCGTATTCGTTCAATGAGGCAATAGGAAAAGATCTTTAGGTCTCACTCAATGTGTTTATTTAGCAGATAGCTGTGAATAAGCATACAGAGCTCTGGATCAAACTTGTCACCATAGCACCAACAATGTTAATGTCAGGGCACGAAGTCTGACTGACTGCCTCTCCCTGATCCAGTGTACTTATACTATTACATAGTGCCCCGTGTCCTTGGGCCTTCTTCCACCATCTCGTGGGTGCAGAAACTTGCCACTCAGCACCCAACTGTTGAGCACCTTCAGTTCCTGCCTCCTGCAGATAGCTGTTGTGACAGGGAAAGATATACACAAACCACCAAGTCCTGTTTCCACCTACGTTTTCTCATGCTGCGATTGGTTACAAGTTATGTTGATTATGCCTTAAGAGAATAATAAGAGATTATCAAAACATGAATCAGAAATATATGATCCTAACACCAACCACATTCACACCTATGGACAATTTAGAATCACCAATTCACCTCAACATGTTTCTGGATTGTGGGAGGAAGCCGGAGAACCCGGAGAGAACCCACACTGCACGGGGAGAACATGCTCCACGCAGAAAGATCCCGGTGCGAGGCAACGGTGCTAACCACCTAGCCAGTTACCACCACATTTAAACTCAAAATGTGTTTCAACAATGAGTTAAAGCCCTGAACATTTTCATTTAAAAACCGCTCCGTGTCTGCTTTGATGGCAAAGTGGAAAGAGACGGTGAAACACCTTCCGTGCTGCTCAGTGTGAACCTCAGTAACTTTTGTTCTTCAGACGGCTCTCGACAGCTTCCCGGAGATCTCAGTGGTGACTGAACTGAAAAAGGATGGGGAAACTCCAGCCTTTAAGGTACGTCTCAGCGGAAAGGCCTACAACAAGAAGACTATGAAGCCCTACAAGATGCCTAACAAAGTGCCTCAGGTAAGACGAGATGACGTTGGAGTGCACTTCCCTGTGCTCCTCATATCTGTCCAGGAGAGGGCGCAGTGTCACTGTTTGTGTTTCTGTTCCCTGTCTTGCTGTCACACTGGAAGGAAAAAAAAAAAATTTCAAATATTCTTGAAAGACGTTCATGGTGTTTAAATGTTCCCTTTCTAGGAGTATACAGTGGACCAGCAGAAAACTCAGTGGTTCTCTCTGTACCACTCGTTGCAGCATTACAAGTACCACACGTACCTCATGTGTAAAGACGAGGTAAGACGCTTGTCTGTGTGGTCGGTGTACATTTTATTCTTTGTTGGGTAACATTTAGCAGCTCTGAACTCTGATGATAATCACTAGATGACTCTTTATTTCTCTCTTTGCGGTCCTCCAGATCGCATCTCTGCGGGTTCAGGCGGGAGACCTGGGGCAGGAGGAGACCGTACAGAAGTGTCTGCAGAACGGAGCGTGGGTAGAGGGGCTCTTTGATCGTTTCGGAGATTTAATCAATCAAGTGCAGCAGGCCTGCCGGTGATTCAGGCTTGGGGGTTTTTTGGAGGGGGGGGCAAAAAACAAAAAACTGCTTTAAAACAAGAGGATGGCTCCAGCTCAAACTGGCAGAACGATGGAGATGGAGCACGTCTCTCCTTCATGCCACAGAGATTTGAATCAGGGACCTATCAGCTGCCTGAACGACGTCTGACGGGCCTTTTGGAGTGAACACGGCAGCAGGGAAACCAGTGGTTCTACGGTTCTACTCTTCATCACTGCGTCCCGCCGCAGAGCAGTGACTCGATCAACACAGGACAAAGGACTTTGTTTCAGGGGAGCATTTTTTTTGGACGACTTCCACCCGGTGCTTCCCCTAGTCTTTGTAGGTTTTTGTAGTGTTACAAGCCCACTTTTTATGGGCCTTTTCATAGATTTATATTGTCTTGTTTTTGTTTTTTTAGACAGATTATAACCAGTGAGTATGCACTAGATAGAAAAGCAATCAGCATAGGAAGTAGAGCACAGCAAATAAAAATGCAGACATCTGATTGCCTACAGTTATAACAAGCCTTCATCGATCATTTGTTACGTAGGCTCACACACAGAGTTGATTTATTGTAAAAAAACAACAAAAAAACAATCTATATATTATATATAACTGTAGTTATATACTGTTTGTAAAACATCCATTTTGTAATGGAGTGCCAACTTATATATATTATGTACATTTTGTATAAAAACAAAACAGGAAGGTGGGAACTGCAGGAATTCTCTCGAGGAATTGGGCGACTGTATGCTACCTACACCCGTACGCTGTATCTATATTGTGCTTCAGACACCCCTTTAGTTCAAATGGTGCGTTTGGATGGAGTCGGTGCAGTTCCAGTTTTTATTAATCTAGTTAATCAGAAATTATTACCTCGACTTATCTGAGGGTAAAATGAAATTAATAAAAGTTGTCTTTATATTGCTTTACAGACATAGCCCACATTTTATGACAAATATATATTTTTCACAGAAGTAAATATTATTTCTTTGTTCATTACAGTTTCTAAGACACTTTTTCATTGTCTTTTCACGGTTTTTTGCAAAATTGACTCTTTGTAAGTCGATTAGCAATTTTATGCTATCAAAAATAATCTTGTTCTTTAAAGATGCTGTTTGTAAATAAAATGCCGCATGTATTAGACGTGTGTTTGGGTATTTATTCGTCTGAGGAGGTTAGGCATTTAGCTTTTCAGAAATAATCACACTACAATTTCCCGACATCGCAGAGAATTTATATTTCAATATAAATACAAACTGAAGTTCATACAAAGATGGAAAAAACGGGCCCGAAGTGAAAGCAGAAGATTAGATGACGGCTGTTCAGTGGAGATAAATGACATGAAGGTTCACAGTTCAGCCGCCTCTGAAACCTCACAGCAGCTTAATTGTCGTTGTGGTTCAGAAATAATAAACCAGCGAGTTTCTAGACCGTGCATATCTAAATACTGATCAC